CTACCCCTGCCCCGACCACCCCTAGGCCCACCACCCCTGCTCCTACCACGGCGGCCCCGACCACCCCGGCACCCACTACTCCGGCGCCGACCACCCCTAAGCCCACCACTTCTGCACCTACCACGGCGGCCCCTGTTCCGACTACCTCTGCCCCGGTGCCAACTACCGCCGCACCTGTGCCGACTTCCGTCGTCCCCACAATGACGCCAGCGCCCACTCCCGTGGCGACCCGCCCCCAGCCCTGCATCAGCAACGGGACCTCGGTGAAGGGCGGTGAGTTAGATTGACTCAATTGCACATTATACAATATCTAATTGCGCAAAAATTCTGACATGAGAGACCTGATGCCTGATTGTACTTGGGACCGTGCGTGTGCATAAGGCAGGACAGTCTGACAGCAGTTTGATTCTAGAGGAACCTCTTGGATATAGTTACTGATCTATTCGTTTCATTGTGCAGACCCTCACTTCATCGGCAAGCACGGCGAGAAGTTCGACTTCATGGGCGAGGCTGGCAAGGACTACTGCCTGATCGCGGACAAGAATCTGCACATCAACATGCACGTGTTTGCCGGCAGAAGAGAAGGCACCACTGTAAGTTCCCTTCTCGAAATCTCTACGAGTCCAAGTTTGAAGTAACCCTGCCCGTTACAGTGGGGTTACAGTTTCTTCTACGCAATTTTCAGTTCCTTTCTACGCAAGGGGTCCAAGTTCAGAAAAGAGCCTGCCCGCACTGCTTTCAAGACGAACTTTGACCTGGAAAACGTCTATTGAAAAGAAGAGGCAAGACACCACAGTCCGTCCAACAGATACTCACTGAATCTTGAAACCTTCTGGTTTCCTTGGGATGTAGATTGAATTGCTGAAGACGAATGGTCACTCGATTCACAGAAGGAGACTCAAAAGTCGCTCGCAACTCAACTGACGTCACCTGTCCCGCCCCCCTGCAGTACATCTCGGAGATCGGTATGCTCATCGGCTCCGACGAAGTGTACGTCTCCGCTAAGTCTTCCGACACGGCCGGCTGGAAAGACACCCAGGGCCAGGTCCTCATCAACGGCATCGAGCTCCCCGCTTCGGACCTCAACATGACGCTCTCGGACGGCCTCACAATCACCAGGACGCGGACGTCCGTGAGAATCGTGAAGGCGGGCCTGCTGGACGTGACGCTCGACATCGCGCGCGCGTCCTTCTGGGAGAACGGACCCGGACAGAACTTCGTGAGTCATCGCGAGCACGTGGCCTTGATGACGTGTCCGAGAGCTTCGACCAGAAGAGTCTGCTTGTGATCTATCAAACTTTCACTGCACGCCCTCTTTAATCAGTTGGCAGAACGAAACTGTATTCGAGCCTGTCTTTAAGGGCAAACTTGACTGGATTATCCAGAAGTAAGAAGCACTTGAGATACTGCTGGCTCTGACAACCTCCTCAGGCAATCTCGACCAGAAAACTGTGAAGGAAAAGCTTCCTGACCCAAACTTCTTTTTGCCTGTTCAGATCAACTTCAAGGTTTCCAGCCTCGACGTCTCCCCCAGCGTCCACGGAGTGCTCGGACAGACCTACCGGGAGACGGCCAAGACGTATCAGAAGCTGGTCAACGGCCCCGAGTACAAGAAGCTGCGGGCCAACGGCATGCCCTTCTTCGTCGACGGCGAGGAGAACGACTATGAGACCTCAGGTAAATAAACTCGAATCTTTTTTAAATTTCCGACTTGGGTTATAGTCAAGTCGATCATCGATACATGCTATAAATCTTTTGAGCAAGCGATTTGAAGTCGGGTGAAGATCTGATCACTTTTGCTGTTGCATCAAAGCGAACGATTACGTCAAAAGATTAAGGAAGTGCGCAGCTCTGCTGATCGAAAGACCAACCCTGAGAAGACCAGAACATGGCATCGACACTGTATCTGACCTTGTTCTTGGGTGCTGCCGCAGGTATCATGGCTGCTGACTGCAAGTTCGCCCGCTTCTCCATTCAAGAAAGTACCGTCTCTGCTGGTGGCAGGAAACTGTTGGCACACTAGGCAATCAGCGTAGTATTTATTGGCAGATGACATTCAAGGGCAAGAAGGCCCACTAATCATTCGACTGATATGGTGATAGCGATTGAAAGACTCGACAAACGTAGTCAACAACTCGTCGACAACGATTTGCGAGGTCAAAGTAGAGCTGATGACCGAAGAGTAATTGCCTGCTTCGCAAGAGAGGACCGTGTGATAGTGGGGCCAAGACGACATGGTTCCCCCCAGCGCAAGTATAGTAGCCTTCATAAATGGCTTCAATCAGTGTAGTATATGTAGGTCTCTTCAATCAGTTCTGTCCAGTCCCTCCCGTCTGTAGTCTTAACTTATCAGAAACAATAATTCTTTACTGACCCACACAACATTCGTTTAATCAAAGACACGCAATTGAGCAAACTGTTGACCAGACTAATTTGCAGAAGCACCGGCCACACAGCAATCAAATTGAGATTCATTTCTTGCCATCCATCAAGCCATTCAACTCGAACCAAAATCATCGAGTGACCCGCCTTCCGACACTTTCGTCGCTCTGAGTGACTAGTTGCTAGGGCTGACGAGTACGGTACATTATGCGCATGCACGCAGCTGTGCACTGACATGTGAATTGGGCCAATTCAGCATACTTAATCATGCTTGCACTATGGACACTTCACTTATAGCCCGTGCGCATCAAAGGCATGGGGCGGAGTGCGGGTATACATAGCAGTGTTAGTGCTGTTTGCAAGAACATGTTTCTACAGCAACAACTCCTCGACAGCCTGAGAACCTACGGACCAAGAAACCAATCTCTTATTGCATCTGCACTACGGTATCGTGAAGCTAGCTAGTCATCGTTTGGATACCATCTACGGTATGAGATGAAGACTACTACTATAGCCTAGCTTTATTCAGATATGTGCTTCTATGCTAGAGTCTTCGTTCCTGAAGGTCCGGTCCGCGGGTCTCGAGGATATGCGTTGCTGTATGACACGTCCGTGCTGACATACCCTGAGCAGTGGCATCAAAAAGATGGCACCTCGCACATAAGGGGCCGAAGTCTTTGTGGCCGCAGCGAGGTATTCGGGCCCTTATGAGACATCTGCGCAATATCTAACAAGCAGCATTGATCCGACGGCAGGGGCGCTGGCCCCTCGCTTCGGGATACTGGTAAATATTGCGTTTGTAGACTATAAATGATCCCTATTTCAACTTGCGACGTGCTCCGTGAGTCACGCTCGAGCGTGATCTGCATCTTAGCAGATATGCTAAATTCTGATTGCTTATTTGACGTCTCAGTGGCCCGGGCGACACATATGCATATCGCCAGGAAGCAGATTGCGATATCACGGAAGGCATCACTGGGACCGTAGAGATCAAAGTTGCAACTCGTAGGCTATAGCTGATATATGATGCGCCGGCACTCGAATGTGTAGCTCCGACATAGCTGGGTCCAACTGTACATTGGTCGGGCCATGCCGGCCGTTCATCCGACAAGATTCCGTCCAGCTCTTCCTTTCCGAGGAACCAAGCTAGTTCACCCGACACGATTCCGTCCAACTCTTCCTTTCCGAGGAACCGAGCTCGTAGAAGAAGACCTTTGGGCATATGCACATCATTTGATATTCATGCGCAAGCACCAAGTCATAAGACGGGCGATGTCCGTGGTCGGGCTCTACACCAGAAGGAGAAGTTATGTACCTCATTGCTAAACTTGTATGCGGACGGACAGTGTTGAAAAACTTCCTTTCGACGCCCTCAGCTCGACACGCTCAGCTGCTTATTACGGTCCTGATAGACACATTGAATCCTTATGGACCACCTCCGCAAGTTACCGCGTGTCTGGGAACCTGTGGGCCTCGTCATCTCTGTCATGACGTTGCAGACTGAAGGGAACTCCATGGTTCGCGTCGTTTCTGGGCGGCTGGACCGGGCGTCCCGCGTTTCTTGAGTTGTTCGGCGGTTGCCACTGCTGCGTCAACTGGCCGCCTGCCTTTCCCCCCCCAGATGTCAATGCCCCGGTTTCATCGGAGGCGCTATTGGCAGACCCGGCCCCGTTTCCGACCTGCTTATATACGGCCAGCGCTTGCGCTACAAAGCTGGCAGGGTCGGACATGTTGGCGGGGAGCAGCATCGTGTTGCCCTGAGCGGGAAAAAGGGGAGGAGATTTGGTTGAAATCTTGTAAAAACGTCAGCAGACTGGATTTACGGCAATAAGGAATCAGCTGGTTGCAATCTGCAGTGGTCAAGGCCCGTGAACGTGTTCTCCCGCCGGCGCCACTTCGAAGACATCTGGGCATCCGAACGAAACAAGCGAGCGGATGCGGAAAAGGCAAATCAGCCAGTCTTCGAAAAGATTGGGGATCCCGAAGAAAGAACCGGCTGCGGCCAACGAACTTGAAACGCAGCCGTTAAAGCGTAGACCGCCGTTGAACTGTAGTTGTTCGTCCTGACGTAGGAGCCAAGAGACTTTAGTAAACTTTGGACCTGCTTCTGGACTCTGCAATCCCGTTATCAGCAGAAAAAGCAGCAACACAAGTGCCTTAAAGAAGAGCGGGACTCCGTGACGCCCACAGGACCGGCTTCCGTTTGCCCGCTTCCCAAACGGAACGGAACAACGGGCGGCCACGCTTTCGATCTCGATCGCGTTCATGAGTGGTAACGCTATGAAAGGGTGACTGAAACGGGCAGGGTGTGCTAAGGGGGTTAGGTGGGTACGGGTGCGGAGCAAATGTAATCTGCGGGTTTATATTTTCAGTTACGTGTTGCCATCACTCTTCATGGTGCTTACTCTTTATAGCAATCAAGCGTTACAACACTACGGGGAAGTCAGGTTTCGTGACCAAGTCCAGAGGATACGAAAGGATACGGGTGGAACATTAACGAAGGTGCATCTTCGTCAGATAGGCGCGTTCTGCAACGTCTTACCTTCTTGGCGATCTGGCCGAACGCATGCAAGTACTGCTCCGCAACTCTGAGTGACGCGGCCTGCGCAACATGCGGAGCAATCGCTCAGCCGCCATTGCTGGCCTTTGAATCGAATCGAATACTCCTTCGCTCCAACTCTGGAAGTTAAAACATTTTAGAAGTATCTGAAGGCAGCGTTTCTGGTTTTTCTTAAGTGACTCAGTACAAAGCCACATCGCGGTGGCCACGGGCAGAGCCTTTCAAGACTCCGTGGGTCCGTGCGCAGACTTTGGGAAAGCTCGCGTGCTTGCTCTGCGGGGCTTGCAGAAGACAAACCTCACGCTGACCGCATGAATCACGACTGGCTCCAACAAGGCGGCAAAACTTTCAGCTGCTACGGCTGGTGTCGCAAATCTAGTATTCAGCAGCCATTATGCGTGGTAATACCAAGAACAGCGACAACGTGGCCACAACAGTCGTAACCAACGCACCGAATATACAGCGAGGAGAGACCTGGATTCTCATGCTGCGCCCTCGAACATGAATTGACATGAGTCAAGCGATTGTTCCGACTAGAGCCGGTAGCCACCGTCAATCGGGAAACGCAAAGCAAATGCTCTGTACCTTTAACTTGACACCGTCGCTCTGCATAACCAAGTTAGGCGTCTGCTTGCTAAAAGTGATTTTTCGGGAGAGCAGCCGCCTACCTCAGCCCCCCCTTGCGCAGTGATCGCGTCAGAAATGACCTGCAGCCCGCGAGAGGTGGCCTCCGCCCGCTGGAAGATCGCCTCCGCTTCTCCTGTACACGTGTCAAACCGATACTGGTGGGAGGCTTGTCTCAAACCGGAGAGCAAACGAGGGTGGCCAACGTTGTTGAGAAATTTGATTACCGACGAGAGCGGTTACAGCTCGAAAAAGGGCGTGCGCTTTTCACTGGACCAGGTACTTCGGATCTGCGGCCACCGGTTCTCGTTGAACGAGTACGCAAAGGGGCCTACAAGGAGGCACTAATGAAGTGCTTCTCGGATAGACGTCGTTACCCGCATTAAGGACACCACTTTGGTACCGCTACTTTGACAGGGGGCCACTTGGTCGAGTCAACGAGTTGAACGAATAGCTAGTGTTCGCAGAAATTAGAAACTCCCAACTGATTGAAAAGGCACAGGAGTATCACAAGAGGTAAAGTACGGACCAAAAGAGCAGCGCGGCTCTGGCCTATCGAGACTCGACAACATTCATGATAAGCCAAGATATTGTTAAGGTAACCGCACTGGGACGGGTAGGTTTACTCTGGTGCGGAGCAGGTAACTTTTTGGGTTAAGATTTTGGTGTTAGTCGGAGCTTGTGATTAATCTTGCTCAACAATATATTCTTGAGTTTCGTCTCTGGGCTCACCCTTGGCCCGATTGATCTGGTCCGTCATGGCGGCTTCGGACGCCAGGATGACGGACGTCTTCTGCCCGTCCGCAACGTTGATGTTCGCCTGCATCTCTCCTGTACATCCGAACGGACGAGCCACGTGTCAGCAAGGGAACCAGCCACGACACACAAAATTTTGCCAGCTAGAGGATACGACATCCGGGCCTGTCAAGAGGACAAGTATGAATGAGTTCGTTGACGAGTGAGGGAATAATCGCACGGGATTGCGGTCCTCTTCCCGATAATTGCAGTATGGTCGAGATGGTCTTAGTGACGTTTGCAACGCCCTTCGTCCCTCTTCCAAAAGCAGAATCTCGGAGGGGCGATTGGGCAAATCGAGCGGCTCAGCACTTCGAAATTACTGGCAAGATTCGACGGCGCCGGACAAGACGGGAACCAGTTTACCTGAAGGTCTTGGAGGCAAGAAAGTAAACAGCGATTGAGTAAGAGATTCTAGTTCACAAATTCTATCCAGATTCTGACCACACACGCGGCATGCCAACCTCAAAGCGGTTTCTGTTCGGTGCCTCTCTTTTGAAATCGAAAAGCGGGCGACTGCTCCCTCTTCTTGCGGTCTCTTCGTCGTTGCACGCAAGTGGACAATGATTGCGGAGCGCAGAATGGTCCGATTTTACTGAGCTCTCTGCCAAGAGCTCTTACCTTCGGACTCAAGGATCTGCGCGCGTTTCCGTCGCTCAGCCTCGGCCTGCATCTCCATCGCCTGCTTGACGCCGATGGGGGGAGCAATGTCCCCTGCAGATACAGAAGCGACCGAATCAGTTTGCGTCCTCTTCGCAAATCAAGATTCAGATTTGGAGACCGACCGAAGGTCTTCGCGTTCAGAGTTCGACTAGGAGGACGGCTAAAGTTCTTTGCCATCGTCATTCGAACTTAACGGACGGCTAGAATTCTTCGCGATTCACATTCGGACTTGGAAGACGGCTAGACTTGTTCTTTGATAAGATCCAGACTTGGAGGGACGTAGAATTCTTTGGGATTCGGGCTTCAACTTGGAGAACTGCTCGATTCGGACAGGCGTGTTAGAGCGGCGACTCGTAGCCTGCTGCTGCAATCAGTTTGATCACGCAACAATCATTTGAGAAAGTCCAGCTTTTCGACTGGGCAGCTGATGCCGCAGAATCGGGTGCCCTAAAACCCCAAAACCGCAAATGAGGCCTTGAAAAAACATGCCCAAGATGTTGCATGCAAGTAGTGAAGCACACTTTCACATGACTGCTTCCTGTCAAGAACGTGAAAAACAAAATCGCATACGGCACTTAGGTGTAGCAAGAGGAAGAACAAAAAAATTATGGAAGGGCATAAGGATCACAACAGCACAATAACGAAAGTATGGGCTTCGAAGGTGACTGAAAAGACGACTTTGCCCGTCCGCTCTCATGGTTCCATTTTATCCGACTCTCTTACACTGAGAAAATGTGGTCTCGTCAACTGAACCGAAAACTAGAAACGTTAGCCAAGTCTTTCAAAGCAAAGGAAAGTAATCTCATCAAGTGATTGAAAGGCGATTTGACGAAGCGAAGGATAAGGCAACTCACGAATTTCGTAACGCATGCACTGGAGGCCCCAGGCTGTTGCGGCTTCGTTAATCACACGCTGCATCGGAAAGCCAACGGTCAGCACGAGGATCGACAGAGAAAGAACTACAATTCTTTGTTTCAAATATTTCCAGAAAAAAAATGTGCTTTTAAGATGCGCCTCACAAACTTGAGACCTTGAGGGAGGGACCGTAACGATCAGGAGTTGGATTCGTTCCAAAGCCTCCTCTCGGTACCAAGTATAAGGCTGCTGACGTCATTGCTGACAGCGCTCACCACTATGTTCTCGTTCAGAGTGTCTCGCTCCGAGAAGGTCTTGTCAAGCGTGATCTTGCCGAGTTCGCTTCGCATGGTAGTCTGGGCAAGCTGGATAACTGCAAAGATGGGATTCTCGACGCCGTAACTGGCCTTCACAGGGTCGACCACCTGGGGGGGGAGAATGGCGAAAACGTTCACAGGTGACCATGAAGTAAAGAGTAAAGTAAGTCAGATTGACATACTTGAAGATTCTAACATAAACCTAACAATTTTAGATGAACTAGGTCTTAGAATAGTATATGTCTTTGCTGCTGTGATGAGAAGCGAAATTGGAAACCGTCATAGACAAGATGTGTTCAGGAGCGCACAAGTGGTTTAAATCGGCAGGACGTTGAAAGCTTTTTGAAGGAACACTTTGTGCTGAAACACTTTTGAGGAGAAACCTTTTCCCCAGATAAGGTCACTATGGCCTTTCGAACCAAGTGAGCGGCGAAACAATCTCAGAGCAGGAGTTCGATGCCAAAAGGCAACCAACAATCCTATGAGCTAGAAGTTTCTAAAGCAACATGCTTGTTTGACTTTCACAGGATTCTTGCTTTTTGAACAATACGGGTTTGAAGAGGACGTCCTCTGAGTCTATCAAAGCCCCCAGAAATCTAGAGACCATTCTTCACTCAGGGCCCCAGAAGATTCGATTCTTCCGACAGATACTGGTGAAAGAAGACCAACTCCGTGTACTGGTTCTGTCCAACTCTTTTCTGCTTGTAGGCTGGTGACATGGGACTGACATAAAACTGGGAGTGAGACGTGACCATCAAATAATGTGATCACTTCCTTTCAGGCCAATGCATCACGGGGCTGAATGCAGAAAGCAGTGCCGCACAAAACTACATGTTCCACCAGACCAGACCCAACAATGTGGGGGACACATATTAGGTAGTGAGTTTGACGGAGGCACCGATTGTCGTATCTTTTTCCGAGGGAAAAATGGAAGAAGAAAGTTCCAAATACAATGAGCCCTGTATTAAACAAGATGCTCAGTCACAGAACGATACAAATTTCAGGAACTTCAGCCAAGTCCGTGTTAACATTGGAAGGGCCCTCACCTTGACATAGAGCACCCCGTCGATGGAGATGCTGACGTTGTCCTTTGTGATGGCGCTCTGGTTTGGAATGGGGATCGCTTCCTCCTTCAAGGAATGGACATAAGCAATTCTGTCCAGGACCGGGATCAAAAGATGGATCCCAGGCTCCAGGACTTTCCTGAACCGTCCGAAGCGCTCGATGACGAACGCACTCTGCTGGGGGACGATCCTGATGCCAAAGTTGGGAGGGGGGGGGATCATGTAGCGAACGGACGGGTCGTCCCGTCCACTGATGTAGTTTCGAGAAGCAAAGCCCCTGGCTCCGGAGATGAAAGACGGCTGCTGATTGGTGTGAAAAGGCAGCCTTGAGGTTGAAAGACCGATGGTGATGTTTGACCGCAGTTTTGAGCTCAGAAGTTGAGAATTGACACCGAAGCTTGTCAATCTGGTCACGTCCTGGCGGTGTCTTGAGTGGTGCGAAGTATCAGGAGAGTTGAGTACGGTTGCATGGTGAAACGCGCTGCTTGGTGACTCGTGGTTTCTTCCCGATTGGCTAGAACTTTGGGCTGAACCCCAAGGGTAGTCACGTCCTACCACCACTGCAGGGGACAAATTCTTTCCTGCAGAGTTTCTCTGCATTTGATGGAGGGCAGTGTTGAGGAGCCGCAGCGAGGTCCGTCCAGGAGCCGCCATGTTCTTCCAAAAAGGAACCTTACACTTTACAATCTACAGAGTCTGCTGGGTTGAAGTGGGTGGTCGTCCAAGAGGAAGGCCTCAGGCGCACCACTATGTGATCCTAGTTACAGCGGCTTGCCTAAAAAGCAAGGCACCCACACGGCTGCAATCCAGCGATGCTTGGAACTGCTCGGTCTGATTCCGATGAGAATTGCGGGCGCAAATGCTCCTGAAGAGCTCCTTAGAAACAACCTCATGCGCAGCTGATTGTGCATACAAAGCAATTGCCTCCAGGCAGAGCAGGTTTTCAGCAACGCACTTTCTTCCTCGCCCCCTGCTACTGCACTGGCATGTGAGGTGCGTACCCATATACGGGATCCCACTGTATGATGTGACGCGTTGTTAACCCAAGTCGATTAAACCTTGGTGCCTGGTCGTTTCGGGCAATCTAGGCTCTCTGATCATCGCACCAGATAAGGGTTTTCGCCAAACCCATTCACAACCCGCAACGTCTGCACAATCACCGTCGGTGTATGGCATTGGGGGCACGGTATATCGCAGGAACCTGGCCCCCCGAAACAGCAGCACACTGCCCACAGAAAATTCTTCTTGCTGTAAAGCTACGGAATTGGCGCATGCAGGCAACAATCTACTTGATCTTATCTGAGCGTTGCCGCCGCTTCCATGGCGGCCTGGCGACACGATGAAGACGACCTGCAAAGGCCAGCCTTGCTGCTACGGCAGCTGGCAGTGACGCCACAACGGCGGGTCTCCCCACCTCGTATCGATTCTGGTATTTCATCGGCGCGCTTCACTCAAGTTCTTTGTAGTGTCCTTCCTGCGGCATTCTGTTCTGGATCTAAGTTGTGCAAGTTATGAAACTTTTCTTCCTTTGCGGTGCCGACATAGTGCTTCAAGCTTTATCAGATGTTCTGAGAACAGTCTGGGCTTTAGGTAATGGTAGATTCTTACCTGGTACCACCACCCTACCATCAGATCCATTATTTAACAGATTGCATTTGATGCTCTTTTGGCTGGTTCAAGGTGTGGATATGGTTGATGCTGCACCTTCACAAATGCTTTTGTCGACCGCGCTGGATTTAAGGCAGGGATCAGAGATATGAGAGATCTCACGTTCTTATGAGGTACTTTCATTCTTCGTTGAAATGCTTGCTGTTGGCTATATAATAGCAGACCAATGATGACGACTTTTGTCCGTACCATCAGAAGCCTTCTGGCGGTGATGTCAATCACAAAGCTGAGGTCTGCTCAATGCTTCTCATCTGTGATTTTTCGAACGAACGTTAGAAAATATTTGCTTTTAAAAGGTGACTACGCTGACTGTTTTTCTTAATGCAACCAAATCTGGGGCAGTGACGCTTAAGATAGATGGCATTCTTACCCAATCCTGTTACACGCTGGTTGGATCATTAGGGTCTACTTCTTGTTCTAGCTGGTGATGCTCGTCCTTTGGTTGTCAATTTTATTCTTGTTCTGTCTACAGGTTGACAAGTTGTGATTGTAAACTTCACAACCTTGAAATTGGTAGATTGTCTTGGTAAAGGAAGCCTCTCTGAACTCGGTTTTCTTGGCTGTGATCGTCAAGACCAACGACAACGGTTGTCTACTTGATTTGAGCGGGCTTGAGGGTGCTCCAATTATTGGCCAGAACAAGCATTTTGCTTCAGTGTTGTGCCGCCAGTCACATTTGTGTAGGTGAGTAAACCTTATGATTGCCACACTGCGTATCTTTTGATTTGCCACTTCCACTGTAGCTTCCTTGGATTTTGATGTTCTGAAACAAAAGTCCGAGGGGAATTGAAGTCACCATGCTCACAAGGCGACAGCCTGGACTTCCCTTGAAGTGCTGCACTGATGCCCATCATCGGTAAGCAAGAAGCAGCAACCTTTAACTGCTGTAGCTACTTTGTTGACTTTGGCGTATAGTGCCTAGATTTGATTGAACTAGCTAGTTCATTTAAGAAGTGGATACACAGTTGTAGCAGCAGTTTTCTTTGTAACGCCGGGACTCATAAATGATATATTGCCTTGAGAAGCATATATGCCCTATGTGGCTACGGTGTGAGCTATCATTCATCAATCCGACTCAGGCCCCTCTTGACCAGCAGTCCCAAACAGCTTGGATCTGATCTGATAAGCTGGATCGGTGGCCACATTCCCGGACCTTTGAGTTGACAAAACTTATCCATTGCAGAATAGTATGTCTAGAGTGCGCTAGCTTGAGACTTAACAGTGCTTGTATTATCCGAGTTGTGATGGCGGTTTCTATGCTGCATATCGTATCCTACAATTATTGGGTCCATGCATACATGGTGATATTCATTTAGAGACCTGCAATCGTGCAAGCCGGATCATGTCCTAGCTAGCTCGCCATCGATGCCATAGTTGCCAAAACTTCGTGCAGCATCATGAGAGCTGCCTCACGGCGTGTTGATTGAAGAGGAAGTTGGATGCATGATGGGCCAACAACATCGCTTCCTGGCGCGCATGCCGCCGCCCACAAAGCTCAACATGCGCGTGCATGATTAGCAAGAAATCACACTAGCCGCTATATAGGCCCCATGACGGCCAGCCATGCAAGAATTCTTGCCAGCCGGGCACTGGCATGCTCAATTAACGGCTGCAGCTGTATAGATCTTGCATGCTGTACCAGATTGCGCGACAGACGCCCGCGCGTTTATGCACTTTGCTGCATGGTACATCTTACGTAAGCACACGGCCAGGATTCTAATCCTCAAATGCACGCATGGTGTGCATGATCCTTGCGGTGGAGTGAAAGTAGGCCGGCCAGCCGCGTGCTGGATCTTTGTAGAACGGCTGATGTGAGTCTCGAGCTGGACAGATCATACATGTAACGTACACCCGGCCTGTACACTAACATTGTCGTAACTTCAAGCATAGCCGCTTGGCCGCCATTATGTGTTATCCAACAAGGCCTCCGAATCTGCCTCATGAAAGTTCTACTAGTTCTGGCCGCCGCAATCCAGAGAGCGTCATGAACCATCGTACCGACACACATCTGCAAATCTGACATGCGAACATGTTGCATAGGACGGTGATTTCATTTTCGATCCTAGGCGGCTGTGACTGCAGAAACCTCAATTTACTTCCTTGTAGTGTGCATGATTGAGCCTGCTCTAGATTAGTCGAAGTGGCGTGGTGCCCAAGAAAGCTGCTCGAACGATCTGACTTCTTCCAATCACTAAGCTAATGGTCAATGGTAGCGCTTGCCCCATGATACTAATCGACGATCCGTGAAACTAGGCCTGAAGCTTCGCATCTTATCCCAAGGTACTCAAACACAACGTTAGCTAACGTAGTAAGCTGCCTCCTGCTTTCTATCTTCCGATTACCATTACCTGACCTTCAACGCCCGCTCAACAAAGTGTTGGGCGGGCTCTACCGGAAACCCACGCTAGACTCAACTCAAGCGCCGGCCCTCATCTGAACTCGTAACATCCAAAACTATGCCCATTGCGCCCCTCGGTGGTCGCTCGTAGCTCGAGCTGTTGGTAGGGGCTGCTATTTGGGTCGTAATAAAACCCTCGGATCGTTCCGTCAACCCTGGAGAAGCACAGGTAGTAGAACCCCGCAATCGTCAACCCGCAGTCGGGACCGACGTTGACAAAAAACTTCTCCTTCCATCGCATGTACACATGGCTATGCCGTGCAAGGTCAATGCCCTTCCCGCCATCCCGGTTGACGGCCTCTCTGAGGGGCGCGAAACTTGGAAACCGCGACCAATGCTTGAGGTCTGTATCGGGGTTAGCCCAGTCTTCCGTGAAGAACGTGTGGTTTATGTTGTCAATGATCTCGCCCTGCGCAAATGTCAAAAGGAGGAAATTACATGAGAGGGGAAACATTAACTGTTGCATAAACAATCCCCCAACAAAAGCTTTCCTTTTATTGTTGCCTCTCAAACCTCCTTGCTGTTGCTCGGCCAATCATAATCTGATTAGTGTGGGCGCATGTGGGTACAACCTGCGAAGGCTTAACCAGGGGCAGTTGATTGTACAGATCAGTCAACTTCAGCGGGAATCAGCAAATCACAAACGTGCTGCATAAGCGCAATCGAGATATCTGTGACTTTCACCGCTAACCACCTTCGTCCTTCAAATTTATGGGGCACGCAAAATTGAGTATGCCCTCTCTTATCCTAATGGTACGCTCCTAGGCACGCGCTTTCTCTACAGCTTCTTTGAAATACGGCCTTCCAAACAAAGGGAGCCCTTAACGAACAGCAAAGCGATCTTCCAACGATCGCTTTAACAAAATCCCGACCCAGAAGCAGTTGACGAATCTGGGAGCAGAAAGTATGCATGCTGTTTAGTCAAAACATTTCAGGCATTTTATTCAGCTGGTGTGGCAGGGGCCTTTGCACTATCTTAACCCGTAGCACACTCTTTGAGCAGCCAAGGCACTGAAGAGGATCTTATCCTAAGTGTTTAAGCAGAACCCATGTGTACAGAGCAAACCAAGAAACTTCTCCGCTACTGCGAAGTAGCTCAAGCGGTGCGCTAAGGGATGGCTTGACATTGGCTCACAGCCCCTAACCTTTTTTGCCACCAGACTAAAAGGACTGGAAGGAACCTTCTTTGACCAAGTCAACAACAGCAAGCACCACGCTTGGGGAGCACCGTCCTACAAGGCGCCACTTCCATCGCTGACCCATGAGTGCTGTGCGGGGCGTCAACGCTTATTCACAACAATCAACAGCCAGAAGCAACAGGTGTTGGCTTGAAAAGGGGCCCCAAAGGGTCTCAGCCGCTACTGACCACTCGAAACCTCCTAAGTGTTCAAGGATGTCACAGATTCCTGTAAGATCCTGAATCAACAGTTTCTTCTTAATCAGCTGAATGAAGCCTAACAAGCGCCCTCCGCTTTGACGGCGCGGCGCAATTTTACTTCGATAGCTATACTCCAATGCACGCAAGGTTACATCCTATTTTCACTATCTATGCACGCGTAGGGACTACCTCTCCAATATCCACTTTGGAAAAACTGGAGATCCAAGTGTGGTAAAAAGCCTCTGAACATATACAGTCTCCCAATCAGAATTGTCTGCTTGTCAAGAGCCCACTGGCTGCAAGTGCGACTGACCTCCCAGAACGTGACCACCGAGCTCTCCGCTGCTGGCACGTTGAGCGCCTCCATGCTCCCACACAGCGTTCCATGGCGCAGGTCGCACCCCTGGATGCGTACGTGCACTGTCCACCGCTCCTCTTTCATTGCCCCGCTGTGGTCGACATTCTGTGTGCCGACAAAAGCCTGCCCCACGCTCAACAGCGTGCAGGAGGGGGGGCTCGTCCTGCTTGGCATCGCGGCCCCCTGAATAGTGTATCCAAAAGATGTCTAGAACTGTGCCATATTCTCGGATCGGACAAAACGCGAATTTGATATCAAAGGCTGCGATGGAGACTGCTTCCGTCAAAATTCGTCAATCTGCTTCCGCAATCCATGCCGCCTTGCGCATCGGAACGTGAGCTCAGGGACTGGAACAAGGAAAGGTGAACCTTGAAATTGAGATAGAATGGTGGAGCTCCAGCTCGTGCAGGCTACTTCCTCCTGCCACCATGCTGAGCTGGAGATTACAGTAGAATCGTCCAAGCTCGTGCACAGCCTGAATCCTGCGGCGGCAGATGAGCTGCACATCTAATTCCTGCCTGCCTCCTGCAGTACCTACTGCACAGTGGTTTTGAGTCTTTCGACTCGTGTGCGCGAGTGGTCCCCGCGGACCAGAATCGAATTAGCCTAGGCTAGGGGTAGGATAGATCGAGGGAACATTCAAACCGTCGATGATCTCATAGAATCAACCTTTGACCGTCAGATCAAACTTCTGACACCGAGTTCTAAGTCCAGAAACTGAGAATCGTGAGATCCAGCTAGAACGTGGGGCCTGCTTGGCACTTCGATTCTGGGTCAGGTGGCGCAACAGTCTGGTAACTAAAAGATTGACTTACAGCGGGATGACTTATTAGATTTGCACCCGGGGGACGGGCGGGGTTAGCATGGTGGTTAGGGTGGGTTCGGGTGCGGAGCGGGTGATTATCTGGGTTAGGGTTTTTAGTTTGTTTGGTCGGGACTCGTGAATCTTAAGTCACTCACCCGTTAAACCACCACCCGCCACCTATAAATTCGGCCGGGATGCCGGCCGTCCTCAGAACTTGAACTTCTCAAGAGAAGTTCAAGTTCTCTCATGGGGCGCAAGCTTTTGGCACTGCAGAAATGGCTCTTGCCTACCTTATTGGTTGGCCACATCATGCTCTTTGCTGGCGGTGCCAAGCTCAGTCGCCACATAGAGGCCTCAAGAGAGGGCGCCCGTTTTTACAGCTCTCAAAACGAGCTAAAATAGCTCCTATAAGGCAACCGCACCATTCTTGCGCTTACAGGCCTTGTTTTTGGACGTTTTTGAAGCTGGAAAAAGGAGCGCGTCCCAGCGGGGCCTGTTCCAGGCGAACAAGCTTGACACCGCCAGATTTGGTGAAGATTTGATGCTGCAATTGCTTGCGGGAGCGGCCATTTCAGTGTTCAAAATGATGCGCCCCACGGTCGCAGTTTGAATTTCACGATTCAACGACCGTTGGCAAATTATGCCACGTCAGCATTTTAACTTTGCCCGATTATAAATCGTGGGTGGTGGTTTAATTAAGTCACCCCGGATTACCAGTATTGGCGCAACTTCCTAGCATCGAGATCCTCATCTGCTGCCCTGTTTACTCTTCTCTTTTGACTTGAGGGAGCAAGCAAACTGGCAGTGGAAAGGTTTTGTGTGCCTTCCTTCGTAGATTGTCAAAGGTAGTGCGGTGCCGCTGCCTGCATAAAGTATTCTGACGCCCCTCGTATGAGCACATATTAACGGTTTTGTCAGGAGAAAGTTCATGTGGTTTGGGTTGAATTCAAAAGGCGTTTTGGTCTGCCAAGATGGGGTCAGCGGGATTGGCGCTGAGTGCTGACCTCAGGGTGCTGCCTGTTGGCCCACAACCGCCAACAAGTCTTCCTCAGCATGTCAAAGCAACAGTCCCGTTGTGCAGATTGAGTGCAAAGGGGCATGGCCCTCAATTGCTGACCTGCAGACTGGGGGTCCAATTAGCAAGACGAGCAGGCTCAGTGCTAAGTTGTAGAGAAAGCACAAGACTGAGCCGGGGGCCCCTTTTGCCAAACTCTTTGGGAAGCTTCTCGTCAAGCATGGCAGGGCGACAGCTGAGTGGTCCCATAGCAGGAGTCTTAAGGAGCAAGGCCAGGCACAGGGGCTGTGTTGCCGCAGCACCGGCAAACATAGTGCAAGGAGCAAACATCGTGAAGCCTGCCATTGCTGTTGCTGGGACTGTTCTTGTCAGGTGAGCGAATCGGTCATTGCTTAAGCAAGCAAATGTTGATGGGGATCTTCGTAAATGTTGCTAGTAGCGCAGGCCTTATTGGGGATTTGGAATGGGTGCAAGGACTTGGGACCCCCCAATCCCGTGTAAGTGCGATGATTCTGTGTCGCAGTTGAAACCAAGCAGAATGTGTAGATGGTGCTGTTTGTGTAGCCACAGAGGTTGTTTCATTTTTGATGAGTTTCTGTGTAATCTGCCGTTGTCAAATTAGGGTTTGCATTTCACTGCAGGATCCCCCCTCCTATCTTGATTCCGTCATGCATTGCGGTGATTGTCTATGCTCTTATGGGGCTGGAAGGGCTTGTGCGGTGGACGCGCAACCGCTGCAAGAAGGTGAGCGGTGCTTCACATGTTGCACTTCCATATGCACATTAGAACTACTTCCTTCATGCTACCCTGTAGTGGGCGCAAATGATGCATTGTGCCAAAAAGTGCTCAAAAGTTAAGGCTTCCCTTAATCTGCCACCTCTTCAATGAAGCTGTTAGCTTCGCACTTCATCTGTAGCTGGACTGACTTGACCTTCTACCGTAGCCAGGGATGTTCATTTTCTCAAGAGAAGAGGCTGTTGATTGCAAGTAGCTTCTTCTTCTCTGAGTTTTCTTGGTTGTTAGGATGTGAACCAATTACTGCTTGGATCTGTTTTAGTTGCTCAACCAGCCAGAAGAAGTGCCGGGAGAAGACAACTGGTCTAGCAGCCGCGTCCGGAAGTATGTGCTGCCCTACATCAAGCCTGTGGTCATCTGGGCCGCTATCTTTGTTCTCTGCGGGTAAGCCACAAGTGCCCCCTTTACTTGGGCCTCCACCACCAGTTGATCCTTGTGGTTCAGCTCGTTCAACTGCCGCGTGCGTGCAAGCTAACAACAGAATTGTCCTTGAGCTCTGTGCTAGCTTGAAAGCATGGTTGCCTGAGGTCATTCCCCCCTTATGTCTAATGGACAAAGATCAGGGTTTCTTTTTCAACAAGCCCTAAAGAGAAATTGTCTCCATTGTTTATGCCGTAACTTGGGTGTTAAGAATGTGGCTTTCAGCTTGTAATGTCTTTTCCTGGTTGCCAAAAGGTGATCATGATGTGAAACTTAACTGCCTAATCATTGAGGCTCTTCCATTCTTGTTGTGCAGTGCCCTGGACCGGCTTCCAACCCCTAACCTCCTGAACAAAGTCAAGTTGAAGGCGGTCAATGTGGTTCGCGTGTTTGCCTCCGTATTCAGCGTCACTTACTGCATCACTGTGTAAGTCCTGTCCGTCTGACACTCTCCCATTGCTTGTGAGAGCCTGTTGCTTGTGAGAGCCTGTTGGAAGCACAGACGTTGGTGTAAGCATCTGACTGCAAAGTCTCGAAGCCTTTGCCTCAGCTCTGCTTAACTATAGTTAAATGGTTTTCTGTGGTCAACTTCACATTCTACGCCAACCTCCAATGTTGCACGTTTAGAGTTCCAGTACTGACAAATCGATAGGGTCTACAAAGCTGGATTGAGATAAAGCACTTGGTGGAAAAATAAGAATCGGCCAACAGCTTCTCAGGTTGCATTTCTGATTATTGTCCTCTATGTTCTTTCAGATTGATCCAGCACATGCAAGCGGTGGTTTACAAGCCTGTGGGGGCCAATGAGCAAGTTGGCAAGGAGCTCGTGATGCAAACCATCGAGGCAGCCATCTGGTTCCTGGGCTTTGCGCTTGGGATGGAGCTTCTGGGAGTGGCCTCAAATAGCTTCATCACTGCCGGAGGTATTGGGACGCTGGTCTTCACCTTTGCGGGCAAGGAGGTGAGGGCCTTTGATACACTTACCTTCCTGTTGCTGCTCGTTGTATTAGTGAGGATGCAGGAAACGGGTTTTTCGGAAGGAAGGTTGCGTGCCAGGATGATCCAGTGGGGAATTGCTCCATTCCGAGACACAAGCTTCTGGCTCCGTACACTTTTGGTCTGGTTCTCTGAACTGTTTCAGTTTCAATACAAAGAGCTCTGGTATCCTCGGAGAGCCGTCGCTTGTTTGATGACCACCTGTTCACATGAGTGGGTTCCAAGCGCTGAGCGATTTGGCCTGACTTTCATTCCAGTCGGCAAGGCACTGCTGTAGCTTTTGAGAAGGACGAGCTTCGTGACAGCACAGTGCACGTGGTTTCCTGCTTGCTGATTGCATTGGCTCCGTATCCGATCATCCCGACCGTGAAGATCAGATGTTGTACGCTTTAGACACTGAGGATCTTCATCGGTCGCGTCTAAGCCGAGTGCACGAGCAGACCAGACCTCTGAAAACTTCCCTGCGTTTTCTTCAGATCGTTGGGAACGCTCTGTCCGGGATGACCATCCAAGCCACAAAGCCGTTCACCGTGGGGGACTGGATCTCGATCATGGTCAACGGCCAGTTCGTGGAGGGACACGTAGAGAACATGGGTTGGTGGCAGCTGACGCTCAAAACGTTTGAGCGGGAGAGCTCGCGCATCGCCAACCAGCAGGTCATCAACAGCGTCATCACCAACGTGACGGCCAAGACGCACTGGCGCTTCAAGTCGTACATCCATCTGTACTTATTCACACCGGAGGAGCAAGTGCAGGTGAGGGTCTATTTCAACAGCAGTTATGTCGACAACTGAAGTACGTCACGTTTGTGGAGCTCGTGAATTTCTTCCATAGCCAGTAGGCTCATGTAAGGGCCTACTGTTCAAATTACTTGACGAGTCTGCCTTTCAATCCACGTTCCTGTCGCCTTTCTTTAGTTCCCATTCAAATAATTTATTGTGAGTTATTTATCCTCCTCGCCCTGTTGAGTATTTTTCTGTTTTTGCGACCTTCTCGTCTTTTTCCGGCCGTTCCTCGTTCTTGTGGTTGGCGTCTCCGGAATCGCCCATCTTCCCTCCCCCAGAGAAGCGTGATGGACTTCGTTTTAGCATCTCTTCATTTTCTCTTTGCTCAACGTCGCTGAGATGCGCTGTCCCCTCTCCCCCAGAAAATCGTGATGGACATCCGGAAGCTGCTGGCGGAGCATCCCAAGATCGAGCACCGGACACTGCATCGGCGCGTCTTCTACGACGGGCACAACATCAGTGTCCCTTCCAAGGACGTTCTCGTCTCGTGCTACTTCCAGACGCGCTGGCAAGAGGAGTACTCCAAGCTCAAGGTAAGGAGACAAACCGGGAGTGCGTGGTCAAAGCTGTAAGGTTATCATTATAAGTGCCGCTCATTGTTAGGTCGCGGCTTTCTTCGTCTACGGAAACTTTCTCGAAGAGTTCACGAAGGTTGCCCGAAGAGTCTGCAACTTGTGGTCGGTCCAGAGAAGCATTCTCGATCAGCGGCAAAATATCAAGGGTTGCTGACTTGTTGCCGACTCTCTTCAAGATGGCTGAACCATATCTTTCTTTCAATCCTTCTTCAGGAGGAGCTCATGTACGAGATAGAACGCATCATCAGCCGGCATGGCTCCCGCTACGCAACCCCAATCCGAACCCACGACTACACGGCCGGCAGTACGCCACCCTCCATGAGTACCTCACCTTACGACTCCCCAACTCAGCGGCTCTTTCTCGCCGAGATGACCGTCTACAAGAATCCCTCACAAGACGCTTCCAAGCTGGGCGTGGTCGACGTAACGGCCAGTGCCGCAACCACAGTGGACATTACGACGGCAGCCGTGGTGGACGTGGAGGCTGAGGTTCGCCGCGTAGCCGCGCCGAAAAAGCAAGCTGACGTCAGCACGGTGGTTCAGAACGGCGCTGAGATCAACAAGGATGAGCCCGCACCTGAGGTCGGCCAGAACGGCGCGGTGCCGAAGGTGGCGGCTGGCGCCAGTAACGAGCACCCGGTAACGAAAGCTGGTGAAGTCAGCAATAGCGACGTATCCTCCAACGGGGTTGCTGACGTTACCAAGGAGGGGGCGTCAATGGGAGCTCAGGCGGAGGCCGCAGTCGATCGGGAGAAGGCTAGCATGGGGAGTGGTAGGAGGTCAGAGGCTGATTCGGAAACTGGGTCTAATACTTCGGACGGAGCAGAGAACGGCGCCTTGGAAAAGGAGCTGGCAGACTATTTGAGGCGGACCAGTAGCCCAGGGAGGACGAGGGGTGGGGGCGACGTCGACACCGCTACGAGAGGCCACTTGCACTTCTCTGATGCGGAGGCCAAAGTGCGGGGTATGGTGAACCAGCCTCCGGTTACCGGCTTAACCCTGTCGTCCCTCCAGTACAGTACGCCCGAAGAAGCTGCCGCAGCAGCCGCTGCGTTTTCGGCACAGGCGGCAGAAGCGGCTGCGGTCGCAAGAGAGCTGCTGAACCGGCTACAGTGGGGTGAAGCTGCGGGCGACTTCGACCCCCCGGAAGAGTCGACCAGCTATTCTGGGACGAGGCCCTCAGAAAGGGGGCATGCGCGGTGGCCCAAAGTCACCCCCCTCGACGTTGATTCCGGCTCGGGGGGAAAGAGGAGCCAGCGGATGGAGCCCTTGGGGCCGCGGACAAGCGATCGACCAGAGGCGAGTTCGTCCCCGAATGGGATATTGGAGCCGAACAGGGAGGTCGAGACCATGAGCGACGTGCCATACCGGGGTATCAAGGAGGCGTCCTCGCCAGGGAGGGAGTGGGCCAAGCAGTACTTTGCTGGTAAGGCTCCAAAATGCGCAGAGATGGATTCAGGCCCGTCTGGTCTTTTGCGTAGTGTTTGGCAGACAATGCTTCTTAGCCGCCTTTGATGTGCACGGCTTGCTGCAGACGGTTTGAGAGCCCTGATTTTGCACCCTTTTTGCAGACGTTGTGGTAGCTTCATGCTGAGTCGCATCAGAGAACGGCCTCTGTAATCCAAAGATTTGCCTGCCCCACACTCCTCCCTACTCGCAGCCCATGTTGTAGGGTGCCAGCAAAAATATCTGGGCGGTTCTGGTATGGTCTGCGGTAGGTCTGTCTCCGTGTGGCTGATATGCCCAGGCGAAGACTCCATCCTTGCTTCAAACAAACGTCTTCAAGCTACGGCCGCTGTTTGGTTGTCGTAGCCTATCTCTTCTCGCTCCCCAAGCTTTCCGTTCTCTACGAGCTTGCATCTTTATTATGTGAATTGAACATTGATTTGCAAAGGCTTTTTTGGTTGATGATAAAGTATCAAAATCCTGAACCTTTTCCTGTGCAGGCGACCGGCAGGCCGCCCGAGGCTTTACGGCCGTCTCCGAGTTTGAGCACCTGCAGGATACAGACGAGGAAGACTTGCGGGTGTCCGAAGCGGACGCTGTCGACGACCTGCGTCCGATGTCCGAGGAAGAAGCGTCGGGCTGGAGGCAAGCCGACTCGGGTGCCGCCACCACTTCCGGGAGCAGTGGTGCGTTCCACGAAGGCGCGAGGGTTGACGGAGGGGAGAGCGTTCGGAAGGGCCCTGTTGGCGGCCGGGGCGACGCTTCGGCAGCCCAGCCGCAGTCAAGAACGGACTCCGGGACAGGGCCCCCGAAGGAAAAACTAGAGGGGTTGGAGACGATGGGGCTGAGCCGGAGTGATATCACACTTTTGGGGATCGCAATTGACAAGACAGGGCGGCAGTCCGCGGTCCTGGACAGCGCGTTTGACCCATCAGTCTCGCCAACACAGCTGGCGCAGCGGAGTCCCGGGGGGACGAAAGGGCAGGGCGGGAGCCCCATTGAGAGTGGAAATGGCAAGCAGGGGGGAATTCCGTCTGAGGACTTGGGCCAGGAGAAAGGGGAGAAAGAGCCGGCGCCTGTTTTGGTCGGAAAGGAAGGGGCCCTGCCGTCTGGAGCCAACGCAATCCCACCAGTGACCGAGCAAATGGGATAGGACTGCGAGGCTTTGTAACTTGAGGGTAGGCAAGTTGGGGTCGTAAGATACTAATTGTATAGTCAGTAATTGTTCGACATTCTTTCAGTCAATTCATGTCCTGCTTTCGTGTTTGAAGCTGGAGAGCGAAAAAAGTTCTGAGATGTCCAGCAATGTATACATCCTTCTCGCTGAAGAGGTGCGCCGGTTCGATGGTGAGGTCAGGTGCAACGGAGAGACTCGATCACACGTGACAAAGCAGGGAAGTTGGTTTAGTTTTCGAAGGCATACAAATGTCACCAATAGTATGTGGCAGTTCATGCACAGCTTTGTATTTTAGCACGAGGGGTGGGCTTCACTTTGTTTCTCCATTTGGACTTCTGGTCGCATGATCTTGCTTGGTAACTAGTATAGAAACATTTTTGATGAATCCCGAACTCCGAAATTGCTTGTTTCTGCGCCATGGGCCCAAGTGCCTAAGCTTCTATAAAAAGAAGTGACCATCGCATGTTGCCCGTTGAGATTCGAGTGGCCCGTTGAATCCTAAGTTGGCCCACCTTTTGCGTTGTATGCAGCCATGCCACTCCTAAGCTTGAGCATGCAAAGTATAGCCCATTGCTCAGTGTACTAAAGCATAAAATGCAAAATTGCGGCTCACTCAGCGGCGGGCCCGGGGCAGCGACTGTTATATGTATTGATATATTGTTTTTGTTGTAGCTAATTCCGATGCAGCTCAATTGGCACAGGCTAAGTTCAAATACGCCGTAGCCAGACAGGCCATAGGCTTCCGACTCATGGCACACAAATGTTTTGGAGTTCGTGATCTATCATTGCAGTGATCTGCAACCATGTATATGAGCTGCGCCGCTGGCCGGGGCGCCGCGGCCTTGCGCGTGAAGTTGCCAGCGGCCGCGCAGGGCGCCGTCGCCCGGCCGGCCGCGTGCCCCGGCCACCGTCGGCGTGCCCGGCCGCGCGCCGGGCTCAGCTCCGTCGACGCGCGTGCATTCGAGTTTTGACAGTTCAAGCTGCTTCATCCGCCCAGGCTCCTCTTCGGCATTCTCCCAACTGTCAGACGGTATCCGATCCTGGATCGGGTTTTGCTTTTTGACGAAGATAGCTCTAAAGCCTTCAAAACCATACACATACAGTAGCCGCTCATGTCCAATTTAATATTTACAACCCGTGCAACAAGTCACCTCCCAGTCACCTTCAAGACTTTACCTATCTAAGAATTTGTTCTCGCTTTGCTCTTATTTAGGTGATTGTTTACAGCAATTTGTGCTCATGAAGGCGAAGAGGGTCATACGCGAGGGGGGAGTTATGAGGGACGTGTCAGAGCCCGCGCGCATAGACTCACCGAGGAATTGGTTTGCTGGGGGCTTTTCACACCAGCACACCGACCGACTGCAAAGCAGGCAGGCAATCTCAGAAAACCTACCCTTAATGTTGGTGTGAATTCTCCTCTGAACAGTTGCCAAGGTTGGCACTTGGCAGGCCCAGTCTAGCACAGCTAGGGGGCCGGGGTGGCCGTAACAACCTTGCGCTGTGGTCATGATGGCCTCGACCCTGGGCTTTTAGCTGGGGCCTTTTCGCAAGTGCACAGCCTCTAGGTAGGTTTGTTGAAGCTCTTTGAAAGAACCCTCGATTCAAATTCTGGTTGCTGGGATTCTGTTTGGGGGGCTGGGATCTACACAGTTCCGAGTTCATAGCGAAGGCATTGTTGGGAAGCCTTAGAGATGCTGCTCAGCTGACGTCAGACAGCTGTGCGTATGCTGAGGAGTGGGACGCGCCTCCGCAATTGGAGCAGGTAGCTGGTGCCTCTTGAAACGTTGCAGGTGAGAGGCTTTGCTCCATTTGCCAATTGTCAAGCAGGGGTCCAGATGCCCCCTGCGAAGCTAATAGGGGAGTCTATATAAACACGGTATGCAGAGAGCAGAATCTTTGGTTGTTGACAAGTAAATTGCCTCATGCTTGTTTCGTGGCAGTGATTTGAGCTTCCAGAGAGTCTGACACTCCTTGCGTCAACTTCAGAAGGAAGTTGCTCACCTGGGGCAGAGCTTTAATTTGAAGTCGAGCAAAGCTTGCAGGTTTTCAAGCTGATTCCTCATGACACTTGAGCGACAAGATTCCTTGGTTTACCAATATGATGTTGGTACACCAATTTTTAGGGGGCACAGCTACTCTTTCTGAAAGCTGGAGGGTTCTTCTTAGAAAGTTAAGCCGAATTGCATGAGAGTCACAGATATAATGACGGTGTAATGAAAGGGCATCTTCGCAGGAACCTGATTCTTGCCCTTTGACGATTTGATTGGCTGCCCTTTAAGCGGTCTATTCTCAATGGTGAATAGAGCTCTGGATTTATGATATTGTGTTCTCTTTACTGTTTTCAACACTTCCTTTCAGCTGTTGTGTTGTATCCTGACACAGAAATGTTTGGTGGAGCTCTTTGGAGCTTTTTGAAGTTTTTTATTACAGTAACTCACTGAAAAGAATCTTTACAAACGTTATTGGTCTGGTAATGATGCTCCTTGTTTCGTTGTACACTCCCGCTCGTGAGCTCCCTCCCATTCCCCACCCTGATTCTTTAGAAACTTTAGGGTTTCACGCAAGCGGCCCTGCGTAGATAGTTCAAAGGTCTCAAGCAATGGCAAACGTAAAGTTTTGAAAACTTTTAACAGTAATTCCTGAAAGCTGAAAACCCCTTGCAACCCTGCCTATCCTGCCGGAAACTTTGAAGTTTGAATGGAAATATGGGGATTCTTGAACATTTGAGACTCAAATCTCAAGCAAATGTCCAAGTCAAAGCTGGTTCCTTTGACTCACTCCGGCTGCTCTTCTCCACCCCCAGGATGAACTTCATGCTGCCCCTCGCATCCTCTTTGGGCGTTGGTGTGGCTCTCATTGCCAGCAGACGCCACTCCCGCACCGATTCTTCTGCCGACTCCGAGCCCGTTCACACCTCGCCTGAGCCCGTTCACACCACTGAGTCCGTCACAGTCCCACTCAGACAGTTGTCTGGTGACAAGCCGGTTCAGCAAGGCGAGGAGCCTGCGACTGAGAAGAAGATGAATGCTGATAAAGTCAAAGCGGGGGGTGTAGATGGCCCCGATGCTGCCCCCCCTGCCGCGGAGCGGCCAGAGATTCAGAAAAAGGTGGTGATCCGCATTGATCCAGAACTAGAGGCGAGCGCGATGCAGAAGAAAGTGACGGCGTATCGGGAGCAGATTGTGAAGCACATCGTGAGCTCAGGCGCCATCAAGGTGACGCTCGAGGGGTTCCCCTACTACATGAGGTGAGGGGCCGTGCTTTGTGGCTGTTTGCACCATTGGCTTTTGGCTCCTTTCTACACCAGCGTTTAGGTTTTGACCATCAATCATGAGTCTAATCTGGCTCTGTTAGAAATGTTGAGAAGATTGTTCGCTCAGTTCAGAATTGCGCGAAGCAACAAATCACCTGAACACAGCTGCTGATTGACAGGAGGGTTTCAGTTGGCAGTCGCGCATTGCCTCAAACCTGCGAAGTCGCCTACTTCATTCTTCCGTGACAAAGTGTCATCTACATCTGGCCACCAAGAACCTCTGCTATCTTTTGGTTTGGATCAACAGAATGTTCTTAAAGTTTCTTGAATCCACAAAGTGACGAGGAGCTACACACCTACAGAACCATACTTCTATTTTGCGGCCGATCTCAATGAATTTGTTTTTGGTGAAGAGTGTCACTTACCCTCATAAATACTACTTTGAAAGCAATGAGAGGGTAGTCTCTGTTCTCAAGTTAAGCTGACCCCCATAAGCTGACCCCTCAGAAAGTTTCCTGTTCATTGACGATGCTTTCTTCTGTGTCTCCAGCAGGAGAGGTTTCATTACACGCAAAAAGTGAGCCAATTATATAATCTAATTATTCTGACAGAGTTCTCTCTATCTATCTGCAGCGAGAGCACCAAGACGCTTCTGGTAAACAGTGCCACGACGTTCCTGAAGCGCCATGAGTTCGTCAAGTACATGAAGCAGCTGTCAACCATCAGCCCCAGGATCCTGCTTGTGGGGCCCGTAGGTGAGGAGCGGTTGAGAGTTTTGGTGAGATTAGGGTTTGCAAGTGTCGGTTAGATTCACAGCACCAAGCGCCTCCAACCATGCTCTCTTCAAGGGGCGACCCGACGTACCTTTCCTCTTACTAGTAGGTAGTATGAAGGGTCCGAGTGACTGAGGAGGCTGGTCGATTATGCCAGCGTGGCAGGTTAACCTTTGGGTATCACTGGGTTTGGGAGTCGAACGGGGTAAAAGCGGGTTGAGCTGTTCCACGCTGGCATGATCGAGTCTCGAGTAGAAAAGGACTCAATTATGCCAGCGTTGAACAGCTTAAATAGTTATTCTCTGATATCTGTTTGGTTGAGGTCTCTGATATACCAAGAGGTTTCAGACGCAGGAGATCGAGGCTGGTGGACGTGTCGCAGTTTTGGAGGAGATCTAGTTTTCAGTTACACTATTGGGACATCTGATAATCGACCCAGTCAGCATTGCGGATTCAAGCTGGTAGACTCGACCACGTGTGATCATTCCCAGGAAACTCTTCGGAAGTGCGAAAAGCGGTTGAAAGTTTACGACGGAAAGAGCGTGGGGCTCTGAGTACTGCATTGGTGTTTGTAGTAAGTGATTCGGTTTATGGAGAATTAGGCCTTCTTGCGTGATGCGGACCGTTAAAATCTTAGCCGTGTTCAAGCTGACGTGGCGGCCCTGTCGTGCAGGCTCTGAGGCATACCAAGAGACGACGGTCAAGGCCCTGGCCCGCCAGTTTGGGGCGAAGCTTCTTGTTTTCGACAACACCGCCATCTCGCTAGACGTAAGCTAACACTGATGGGAACGCTTTTGATCATCCGACCTGGAGACCGAACCTCAGATTGACAAATTCCCGAATGCGCAAGTTGCATGAATAATTACTGACTTTGTTTCTAAGCTGAAGGGAGGCACTTGACCTGTACCTTTCCATCTGGGAGGCAGTCGAAAGACCAGCTTTCGAGTACGAACAGCAATGGGCGGTTCTCGATTTGTTGTTGTTCCTGGCGGGTGCGCTGCGCGTTGTGATTCGGGCTGTGTCTTGACATCGAGTTCTGTGCTCAGCGGTTTTGGGTTTCAACGAATTGGGGTTATTGTACTGAGGCACTAGTCGTTGCGCTTTCTGCTGCTCAAAGTGGTCCTTCCAAGCGCTCTCGCGAATTCGACTAGCTCGGACTGTTTGGATGCAGGGTAGCCGATGCCGTTTCGAACTTTGATTAGCCAAGAGAGCGACGCTGCCGCCTGTCATTGTTGCCATCTGTCAAACTAAAAGTGCCCAGTTGAATCCGGAAGCACTTCAAATGGAAGCACTGAAATGGAAAAAAAAAACTCAAGCCGAAAATTCCCCGGCAAACAGGTGCAATACCCGTGCACCCCCCGCGTCGCCCCCCTCAAGGCGGAGATCAACGGCCTCGATCTTCTGGATGGCGACGATGCCTCCTCCATCGATTCCAAGGACCGCGATTCGCCGCTAGGGCCGCGCCTCGGGCGCACCTCCTCCTTCGGAATGAGGGTCGATGACCTCACGGAGCCGTCCATCAAGGTTTGTGACGTCATGAATGGCTGCTAAGGCTGCTGGGATGGGAGAGGTGGCAGACGTGGCTCTTGCTGGGGCTGCTCGATTCCATCCTAGAGAAACGGGGGGTATCTTAATGCAACGCTAAGGAGAGACTGAGGAAGGAACAGATTGGGGATTACCAAAGACGGCAGCTCTTTCTAGTCCTCGATCTTCCTCGTGGTTCGGTCCGCTGAATGTGCGATCTTGAGATGTGTGACGAAACGAACGACGTGCCTTCTCGTCATGTCTCTTCAGATCCCAATCTCTAAGAAGTTCTCGCGGTTAGAGAAACGGTCCCGGCAACACAGCCTGTAAGAGTTTATCCCCCTCTATGCGCAGGACTTCCTGTCGTGGGTGCAAGACCAGCTCAAGCAGCAGTCAGCCGCGCCCCCCCCCGCCCCGACTGACGGCGCTGCGTCGCCCACGAAGCCCCCCCCCATCCCGCTGGACCACGTGCTGGACCTCCTGCACGAGTACGGCGACAAACTAGAGCGGACGACTTCCGGCGATGTGCTCCGGAGCTCTCCCTCCGGAACGCTGTTTCGGACGAGCTCCGGCGCCAACTGCGTCGAGTGCCTCAAGCGGACGTCATCGGTCGCGTCAGAGATGACGGAGGATGACGTGCACGGCGGGCAGGTGGGAGACGCGCCGGGGGGGGAGGTTGCCCCGCCGGTCGCCAAGGAGGCGGCCCCCCTGGCGAAAAAGGAGCTCGCAGTCGAGGACCGGGTGGTGTTTATCGGGGCGACTGCGGCCAAGAACGCGACGTTCACCACGTTTGGGTGAGTGCAGAGGTTCTGGAAGTCCAGGATCTGAATTTTGGGCTTTGAAAGGCGTTGACATTGGATTTTGGAAGTTTTGAGCTTAGCATCCAGAGATGTTCTCTTGCACCTTTTCCCGTAGGCGTACAGCCATAGCAGGGCCGCTTGTTTGGTTTGTTATTTATTGGGAGTTCTTTACATCCAGGTGTTTGTTATTGGGAGTTCTCCATATCCAGGTGTTTGTCATTGGGAGTTCTTTATATCCAGGTTGCACTTTGACAGGCGCTTTCTCGAAATCCAATTGGAGCGATCAATCGAACCCCTTTCGTCAGCTCACCCTGTGTTCGTGACGTCTCTAATGTTTGCAGCGGCTTCCACGGCAAGCTGGTTAAGAAGCGTGACGCGGAGCCTAACTTGGGGGTTATCTTCGACGGGCCATTCCCGGGGGGCCACTCCCTCAACGGGGCCTGCGACGATGGGAGGGGCTACTACTGCTACGGTGAGAGCCCTTCTGCAGCGATTCGGACGGACGACCAGTTTATTTCCGACTTCAAAGATTGAAAATCGGGTCCTCATTCGGTATTCGCTGCTAAGGAGAACTCTGGGCGATTGGGAGTGTAAGGTTCGTTTCTGCATACGGCATGGTACGTGTAGACAAAGGTAATTGTGGGCTCATCACGGACATGCGACGCTGGCGCCGGACGAGTCCAGAGCTCTCATGTGTGGGCTTTCAGCTTGCAAACCGAAGGAGCGATTCCAGACTTGATGGACTAGCGCACTCGATATGTAACTCCAGCCGTGCGATTGCGGATCAGCCTGTTACATGCAGATTCCGGGAGCACTGCTTCAATGATCAAAAGTCTTCAAGGGAACCAATTGATCTGTCGGTATCCATGACTTTCGAAGGACGGAGATGAGAGGGCTGACGTTTACGGAGATGGATGGGCTGATGTCATCTCGATCTGCTGCAGATAACGAGCTGCGGCTCGAGGGCGCGTCTGACGAGACCAAGGCGCTGATCGACGCTCTGTTTGAGGTCATCGCGGCGGAGGGCGAGGACCCGCTTATTGTGTACATCCGGGACGTCGAGAACTGGATCCTCAACAACTTCGAGGCGTACACCAGCTTCAAGGAGCGCATCGAGCGCGTGCGCGGGCGCGTGCTCGTCATGACGTCATACATCAGCAAGGTGGGCTCTCAAGGTGACGTCAGAGGATTGAGGGAGTATGGTTCGAGGAGAGAGTGAAGAGAAGCGCTTGTGAGGGTGGGCTTGAAGGGGACGGAAGCGAAGCAAGTCGCAATAGAGGAGGCTAAAGTGGGCGTTGTAGTTCGGAGAAGGTTCACCATATACTGGTCTTAAGACCAAGGAAACAAAAGCGGTCACCTGTGCTTTGGTGCGGGATTCTGGCGTTTCAATCAGTACTGGACAGAAGCGGAGGCAGTCGCCCTAAGTCAATCACATGCGGTACTACAACCTTACTGGCTTTCTAACGGCCGTCATGCATCCTACGCATTGTGAGCACACACCCGTCAGAACCAGCAGCGTTACGGTCCGAAACGCAATACGCTAATTCGTTGCAGGAGGTCGCGGCCGCCCCGGCGGGCGCCAAGGACGACAAGAAGGAGGCTCTGCCGAGCGTGCCGAGCCAGCTGGCGGCGCTGTTCCCGAGCGAGATCCTGATCCGCCCCCCCCAGGACGAGACCATGCTGGACCAGTGGAAGCGCCAGCTGAAAAAGGACTCGGAGTCGATGCGCGCCGACGCCAACCGCAAGATGCTGCGACAGGTGGGGGTCGGTTCTACTGGGGTTTTGGGACCCCCAGTCGATTTTTGCTTCTGTCGGCTTGTTTGGACGGGTCTCCGATACTCCAATGGTTGAAAAGTTGCTGCGCTGTTCTGAGGATGGTCCCGCTGGAGTTCGGGAGGTGCATGCGCGTTTTCCTTCCCGAATAGTTCTTGCTCCGAATCGTGGACTCCGTTCCTTCGGTCAACTGTTCTGTTTGTTGTGTTTCGTCTGTTGTGCATTGCTTGGCGTGTTCCTCTTCGTCTCAGTTTCATTCTTTCTGACTTCCATTCCGCTTGCTCTCCTTCAGGTCCTGGCGTCCAGCAACATCAAGTGCGATGGCCTGAGCACGGTGCAGATTGAGGACAAGATTCTCACCGAAGAACGTAAGTTTCATATGCTTTCCAAACAGCCAATCGTCGTGAAGGTCTATAAGGTTAGCTGTGTTTGTTCCAAGGTAAGCATCTACTGCAAACTGAGTCTGCAACTACAAATGTCTCTTCCAAGTCGTGCTCATCCGCTTCTCTTCAAGTCTGATATTGTACTGAGGCCGGGTGCCTCGTATACCGTACAGTCACAAACAGGGCTTGCCTGTTCGGCTGAAATCTCTGTCAGCTGCCGAAAACACTGGCCTTTGTTCCGTTACACCACTTGGCGGGCTTACACTCCACAGTTCCTGCGAGTCCACCGTTCGTGCGTTGCTTGTGATCAGTACCTTCGAGACAATCGAGGCCTGCAATGAAGATGCTGATTTGCCACTCCGTTTTCTTGTCCAGTGGCTAAGCGCGTGGCGGGGTGGGCTGCGAACCACTATCTGGTCACGGCGGAGAAGCCGGAGGTGCGCAACAACAAGCTCGTCATTCAATCAGCCAGGTGAGCCCCGCTGGACACGTGGCTTCTACCAAGTGGAAGAAGAAGCTTCTTCTTATCTTCTCAACGAGCATGTTCTTCGGGCCCAGCTGCCGTCCAGGCACAAGCCTGATATTGAACTGGAGGCTAATGTTGTCACCCTTGTTCAGTTGTCAAGTGGGTTGCCAGTCCTGGTTGGTGAGCGGATGCTCCAGACCATCTAGAAACGGTCCAAGCCAACTCTGATGGAGAAATGTATCTATTTCTGAGCCTAACCCCGCCCCGTACCACCAGTCCAGCCTGGCCCGTGACATCGATATGCTGCACTTGATCCACGACTCCAAAGTCAAGCCTATATGTCAATCTCCAGCCTGATCCTGTATCAAAACTCCAACCTTCACTTCGGTTTTTTCCTAATCTTGACACCGTCCCTCAACCACCGTCCAGCTTGTTGGTCTCCAGCTTGTTGGTCGAGCTGCTGCACTCACTCAAAAAAAAATTGGATCTGCTTCGGACCCTAATTCAAACCGTGAGCTTATAACCTGGCTTAATCCGTTCTTCTAGCCTAACCCCTCCCCTTGACCCTCCTCCAGCCTGGCCCACGCGATCGAGATGCTGCACTCGATCCACGACGACTCCAACTCCGCCAAGAAGGCCCTCCAGGATGTCGTCATCGACAACGACTTCGAGAAGAACCTGCTCTCCGAGGTCATCCCTGCCAACGAGCTCGGCGTCGACTTTGCTGACGTCGGCGCGCTGGATGACGTCAAGGACGTCCTCAAGGAGCTGGTCATGCTGCCGCTGCAGTTCCCGGACCTATTTGCCAAGAGCCAGCTCACCAAGGTGGGTCTGCGCCTAACCTCTTTGGTTTGCTCCAAATCAAAGTGGGCGGGTTTGCTTCCTGATTGAAGTTGGCAGAGCCGGCCTGGACCGCTTGTGAGAGATGTTTTGAAACACAATCCAAGGAAATATACTGCTGAGAGCTTGCTGTCGCTTTTTTCTCAAGTCGATTTAGGCAAGTTCCCAAGTATTAATAGCGTCTCAAGGTGGGCTCTCTTGGTCAACCCACGTCTCTAGAAAACTGGGCTTTTTCTCTGAGCTTTTCTGAAGGCAAGCACTGTATAGCTTCGCAAAGTGGAGCCTCGGAGGAAAGGACACGATTTTTCTCAACCCAAGCATGAAAGATTCTCAGATTTCATGGAGAGGTCCCCAAGCTTCAATCATACCGTTCCTGTTGAACCCCACAGCTGATCTGGATTACTCAAGACGACAGCTTGCCATAGGGTCCATTGTTCCGACCACACTCTGTACCCATGACTAAGATCTGCTCCCTTGGTCACAGCCTTGCGAGAGGGCTTCCTGCTGTTTGGAACCGGATGAAGAGGACGGAGATGCCTCTCTGCTGTGTTTTCACTTCTTTTGATAGGTTTCTGACGCCGTGAATCCGCTCTCCCTTCTGCAGCCGTGCAAGGGCATCCTGCTGTTCGGCCCCCCTGGTACCGGCAAGACCATGCTGGCCAAGGCAGTGGCCACCGAGGCGGGCGCCAACTTCATCAACGTGTCGATGTCAAAAATCACGTCCAAGGTGAGGCGCTCGTTCGTCTATCCGTTAGCGTGCGAATAGTTCACCGTTTCTATCTCAATTCGGTCGTCGGTTGTCTCGCAACACTAGTGCTTGGCCGAGGAAGGAGATGCGCGCACGCTCTTCCCGCCTCCGTCCAACAGTGGTTGAACCCTGCGTCAATCCCGCAAAACGCCACTCCTTAGCCAGGGAGTCCTGTACCCGATTCTCAGCCCACTAACCATCTGACGTTTTACTTTGACCCTGACGTTTTTAACCCTGACTTTTTTTAAACAAGCCAGTGGTTCGCCGAGGACGAGATGCATGTGCGCGCTCTCTTCACGCTCGCTTCCAACGGTGGTTAATCTTCCAGTCCGCTAAGACGCCACTCCTTAGCCGCCACTACTCAGCCAAGGGTTCTTTCCCAGTTCACTGACCCTCTGAACCCCTCCCGTTAACCCAGTGGTTCGGCAAGGACGAGTAAGTACGTGCGCGTGCTCTTCACGCTCACCTCCAAGAAATACTCACGCTTGCATTCAATGGCCACTGATCTCCTGTTCCATGTTCTTATGGTATCACGCCACTTCTCAGCTGCCCCACGTGTTTTCCACTTCACTAACCTTCTTAACCCTTCCGGTAACCCAGTGGTTCGGCGAGGACGAGATGTGCGTGCACGCGCTCTTCACGCTCGCGTCCAAGATTCTCAATCACTTCCTTCGTTAACACACTTCTCCTTCGCCGACGCTTTTCAAATCTGATTTTCATGACCCCGATTTGCAACCCACTAACTTCTCTAACTCTCCCCCTAACCCAGTGGTTCGGCGAGGACGAGAAGTACGTGCGCGCGCTCTTCACGCTCGCGTCCAAGATCGCGCCGTGCACCATCTTCATCGACGAAGTCGACAGCATGCTCGGCCGCCGTGACTCGCGCCACGAGGCGGAGGCGATGCGCAAAATCAAGAACGAGTTCATGACCTGCTGGGACGGGCTCCGCACGCGTGAGAAGGAACGGGTCCTCGTGCTTGCGGCGACTAACCGGCCGTTCGATTTGGATGAGGCCGTGCTGCGCCGCTTCCCCCGGAGGTCAGTGGCTGAATGGTCCAATAAAGGGAAGCTGTAAAACAAGGGCTTCCGTGCATTCTTGATTTGTCGGGGTATGTTTTGCGTTGTGGGATTGATTTGATGGGCGCTTCCCAGTGAGGGGAGGCGATGACTTGCTCCTTTGAAAAGCAACCTGTTGGGCATTTCGGGGATGAATGATGTGAAGGCGTTTGAAGGGTGATGCTGATTCTTGTCTTGCGCTGTGTTGTGTTGTGTTGTGTTGTGTTCGCTCCTTGTGCTGGACAGTATGGCGTCCTTACATTTGTTGAACTTTATTCACGTGTTTACTTTTGCGGACTCCGGATCTTGGTGTCCTGAAAATAGGAACCTTGTATTTGGAAGAAGAGTATCACCCATACTATGTGCCTGCAGTCCGCAGCACTCACTACATATTGTGATTGCTTATGAGTCTCCAGATCCTGGTGGCTACTCTTTCTTCTGCAGATTTTCCTGATAGGTCCAATTACCGAGGTTGAAGGTTGAGATGCGCAGCGAAAGTCGAGGTTTCAGACGTCAGTCTTGGGTTCCTTCGCTAAAGTCAGCCGCTGCCCTTCCTGCGCAGGGTGATGATCCCTCTGCCGGACGTGGAGAATCGCGAGAAGATTCTGCGCGTGGTCCTGGAGAAGGAGGAGCTCGGCTCCGACATCGACTACAAGGAACTGGCGGAGGCCACCGAAGGGTACTCGGGGAGCGACCTGAAGGTGCGCGAATTTCTTTTGCTGCTCTGCTGATGTCGTTTGTGTTCTAGGAGCCTTTTCCTCACGGGCATTCGCAGTGTCCCCATTACTTGAGCATTGAAAGCTAAGATTCGTCCGCAAAATCAAGGGAATTGGGGAGGCCACCGAAGGTTCTACGGGGGCGACCATTGCGTGAGCCTATCTTCAACAGTTGGCAGGACGAGTCTCCAGGCGCGAGCCGGCCTATCTTCGACAGTTGGCAGAATGAGTTTTCCGGGTCCTGTTGATTTTTTGAACGTCACGTGCAAGTTAGAAGACGCTAATGCTACGTAGTCGTGATTTGATGACGACATGGGCGTCTAGCAGTGGCGCGAACCAAGGCGCTTGCTTGCTGAACCCAAGCTCTGCTTCCGCAGAACATGTGTGTGACTGCCGCGTACCGCCCCGTGCGCGAGCTGCTGAACAAGCTGAAGAAGGACAAGGAGGCGGCCAAGGCCACGGGGCAGGACCCGGCCGGGGTGGTCCCCCAGGGGGTGCGCCCCCTCTCCATGGAAGACCTGCGCAAGGCCAGGGAACAGGTCGGTACTCTCCCCCGGGCACTTTGAGTCGTTCTCCTGATTTGACTGGTTCACGGAAGACCTGCGCAAGGCCAGGGAACAGGTCGGTAATCTCCCCCGGGCACTTTGAGCCGTTTCTCTGATTTGACTGGTTCACGGAAGACCTTCGCAAGGGCAGGAACAGGTCGGTCAGTTGGCTGGTCCTTGGAAGACCTGCTCAGGGTCGGTTTAACGGCTCTGAGGCTCTTTGAGCGATTCTGCATGAGTCGGCGGGTGGTGTGGATGTCTGCCGGGCGCTTTCGAGCTCTCGTGCTGTCGACCTGGTTGGGGACTGGTAAATCGGTTGTGGGCGAGTCGGAGCCCTGCCGGCGGCCTTCCGAATGGTATGCGATCAATGCTTTCAAACGCGAACTAAATTATGGGTGGGAATCTACATGTAAACACATTTGTATTTGTCTCTTCGGAAGGGCCAACCTGATTATCACCGCTCGTGCCGAAAGCGACTTCGGTGGGGTTCGGAACCGTGTCATTTGGCAGACCTCGTTGTAGAAAAGATTACGATTGAGAGTCGGTGAAGTCGATGTGTCGGAGTCTGATTGTGATCGCCTTTACCGTTTCAGGTGGCCGCAAGTGTCAGTCCCGAGGCGTCGATCGTCCAGGAGCTGATGCAATGGAACGAGCAGTACGGGGAGGGGGGCTCCAGGAAGAAGCCCGCGCTGACGTACTTCATGTGATGACGTCACGGGCGCTCGCGCACTTTCCAAGGGGGCCTGTGCTGACCCCTGTCGCCTTGCGGGGCGAGGTTTGAGATACGCGCGAACCAGACTTTGATTGTCTAGCTGGGGTGTTCAGATATTCGAGGTTTGCTGGGGGTTTGGTAGCGAGGTTTCCGCGCGGGAACGCTTTGTTTCATAGTAGCTTCGAGCGAGATCATGGGCGCGGCAGGTGGAAGGAGGTAGGAGGGTATGGTGAGGTTGGTGATTAGCGTAAGCGGCTCGTCGTGTTAAGGTTTACGTTCTGATGCTTTGCAGCTTTGACTGTGGTCAACGCCATTAAGGCCTGCTTCAATATTGCATCTGCATAAACTGCCCATTGTAGAGAGAGTAGTTGTATCATTATACGTCCCTTTAGTTCCCTGGTAGAAGCAGATTGACATCTCTTAGGGGTTGAGGTGTTCCCAGGTCTCGGTGCACGAGTCTAGCCGTGTACCCGATGCTCAGTGTATTCAACCTTGTGTACAAAGCTGCAGGAGAAATCGTCCAATTGCCACATCATGTGTCGCCCGCTTGCCCACCAACTTGATGGTCACTTGCTGTTATAAACCATGAGCTCCACGCTGAGCCATCGGGCAACACTCCGGTGAGACCGGGATGTCATGAGTTGACTCTGCAGCTTGCTACGGCTGCAAGTCATGTCCAATGTTCGTCATTACTCCCTACCGTATACCAGATATACGAAGACAAGCAAATAACAGCAACTTACACATCATGCATGTATAAGGGCGAAATACATACGTATGCGAATCAATGACGTGTATGCTATGCAAACGGCTACGGCGGAATTGGCGTTATGCAGCTAACGAGATCATGCAGACTACGCTAGACAAGAGGTGGCATTATACTGCGGCCGGGGCCCGGCTCCCTCCTAAGGTTCTTGCGCCCTTGATGAGGCGGTTACAGATTCATTTGGCGATTTTCCTGCTGTCGTCCGCATGCCCATACGACCAGTCGCATTGTCGATGGGCCGCGCTAGTGCCTCCGTCGCAATGGTTCTAGTGCATGCGATGGGTGGGGGTGCGCACGTGTGCAGCTAGCGCTGCATGTCCGCAATGACATGGTATTTACGTCTCTCTCTATATATATCGAACTTGAAAGAGCCCAGGGACGCAGTTGCTATATTTGCCCGGTCAGCTTTGGCAATCAACTGTGCCGCGCGCAAGTACGATTGCTTTAAGTTAACGTTAAACGTTAATGGTGTTGTGCACCGCGGCCCGTCTGCGAAAGGCTGCGGGTTAGTTGCTTTCGACTCGGCTTGCTCTCGGGTATTGCATTGGGCCCGGCTGTATGTCAACCATAGTCGCGTGCCGGGATCGATACTTAGGGGTTCGTCAATACGTTTGTAGTGGTGACGGGGTAGGATTCTAAATAGCTAACCCCTTTCTCGAATCCGGCTTCACTAGCCGGCTGTCGCCCGCGGGCCCACCCCCGCCCCGCCGCCCTAGCGTACCGGTTCTAGGGAACAATCACCAAGCCTCCGAATATGGCCTGTATGCATATGCCACCCGTAGCTGGCTATAGGTGCAAAAAACCCTGTCCGCTGAAGTATTGGGGGCCCAGGATCTGCCCCATGCTTAACTTACCCAGCTAGAGGCCCCATGCATGAGCGCCACCCCATCCCTTGCATGAGCTCACGCACTACGATTAAACACATTGTTTCGCGGCCAGCTTTGAAGCAAGTGAACTCATTGATGCCGCCATACATGTATACACATGCCGCAAAGTACAATCTGCGTTATCGAGGCAATGAATCGCCACTAAAATGTAAGTCGAAAAATATTGCCGGTGGATCCTATACATAATTGGGCACGGCCGCCAATTTGCATTTTAATCCGGCCAACCTTTGGCCGCCGCAAGGCCACGGTGTGCACCAGGCAAGTTGCAGTGCAATCGTGTGCAAATATCAGCCCCTATAAGTCAACGGTCAGCAATCGTGTGCAAATATCAGTCCCTATAAGTACGTGCGCAACGGTCACAACATCGGCGGCATCTGCTAATATGTCGGAATCCCAATGATGCACGTATAATTGCTGTAGCAGTTCAGTTTGGACCTGCGTTCCTTTTTCTGCAACATGAAACGAAAACCCAGTACAGCGACTCATCATATACTTGTTAAAATGTGGAAAGCATTATCTCTTGTTAGCGAAATGCAATCCTCAAAAACGGATTCTCTTGCCAAGATTCTCAAGACTATGCACAAGCCTGCCAGTTTGAATGTTTGAGATGTCCAAGGAACCTTTCGAACCTTGTTGTCCATGCATGACTACGAAACTCCCACCTAATACACGACCACTTCTCAGAAGGTCTTGACTGCATTTATTTTCTATCATAGAATTTACGCGTGCCAGGTTTCCTAGCTGCTCTTCTCATCTTTTTACAATACATTGAGAAGCTTGTAAAATTCCTACTTCTGGAGCTTCGCCCCTACATCGACCTCCCAAATGACAAATTGATCATATGCCGCACCGCAGTAGGCACCATTAACGAATGCTTGCCACCAGTAATCTGACCATGTGCCAATCAGATCACCAAAAAGACCTCCCTCAATCTGAGGTCGACTTATATTGTACACCCACTGGCAGCCCACATTCTTGCTCTACTGTTTTTGACTAGACCGCCAGCCCGAAGGCGACTCAGCCTTAGCAACGCCAAAATAATGCCCTTGTCAAGCAACGATCCCCTCCTCGAAACGGACACTGAACCGGAAAAGACGTTTCATGTCGACCGGCGACCAAGCTTACGTCGGAACTCTTCAATACGGAGGCCCATATTTGCCCATGCGCCACAGCAGGATGCGGTGTGGGTTCGTCCCATGCCGGCCCCCACACTCGAAACACCGGTGCGTCTCGGGATGCGCGCAATTTGCCCCGTCCTCACACGACAAACTCCCCTGGAACCCGCCCTGGGAAGGGTACCCCCCCCCGGGCCCTTGCTTGACGGCCCCCCCCCTCTGAGAATCCCAAGGACCCTGACGCAATTCGGAGTGGAAACCATGATGGTCGTGGGGGGGGAACTCTGAGCGTCCGTTATACTCTGGCCGGGGCCCCCCCGCAATGGCAAGTTGTCCGGGGGGGAATGGGTGGCCGTTGGCTCCTGAGGGGATTCTCGCGGCCGGGAGGCGGGGGGTACTGCTTCCCGGCCCAGTGGGGGAGTTGGGGCCCTGTTCTGAGGAGAGGCGGCAGCGGCCCCTCATGAACCACGTCACGCAGTAGCTGCAAAAGGGGAAAACGGGGCCTCAGCTTGCAGGCAAGAAGAAGGCAAACTTGACGGAACCATGACGAACGCGAGGGTGGGCGAAAACGGGGCCCGGATTGGGTCAATTGTAGGTCAACAACAAAGCACAACGATACCGGATGGACGAAACGGAACCCGAGTAAAAAGTCGGACTTGGCAAGGGAAGCTAAACCTCCTTGTCAGCAATCGAGGAGTCTGAAAACCAAGCCCAGTAAACCTCTGAATCACTCTGGTCAACCCACAGAAATTCCAGAAGGCCAGGAACAGGCACGACTTACCAGACCGTTGCTGATCAACTATCCAACAACAACCTTTGTAAGTACTAAACCTTTTCAGAACCGGCGACTTACAAACTTAGCTTGAGTTGAGGGCTAAAACAAGCGCTGAATCAAGAGAATAGAAGGTATTATCGGTATGAAAAACTCACCTTCCAAATGGGGGGTCAGATGGTAGCCACGGGTTGGGGGGGTGGTCATGGCCACGCACAGTCCGCAGGGAGTTGACTTGCTTCGCTGAGAGGGACCATTGCAGAGCAACCACCGCCTGATGCTCCAGTTCCAGGTACTTCTGGATAGGGACAAAGTCCTGTGAAAGGAAGTAGAAACTTTCAGCAACTTGTATCAAGACTTGCCGTGTCATGTGCATCAGAGACAGGAGGAGTGCGACGAGGAGATGAAAACTTCGCTCGTAGGAAGGGACTTGTGAAGGTGGAAACGCGACGCAAGAGGAAACTTGTGAAGAGGAAACACGACGGAAGAGAATAACAAACACAGAAAGCAGGTAGATAGCAGTGGAAGGAGAACTACAGGGCTGCAAAGAGGGGTTTGCACTGCCTTGGACCACATAGTCAGACATTCTCAGTCTGAAGTGATATGAGGCTTCTGAAGTGTCCATATTTGGCTCTGCAACAAGAGTCCTCACCAGTCACTCCAGAGAGAGCACAATCAAGAAGGGTTAAGCTGGAACATCTGACCAATTGGAGGGCCGCTCCATACCTTTCTGAGGTCCAGGGGGAACGCCCTAGGACTGGGCCCAGCATGAGAAATCTGCACACAGAACGACGTGCTCAATGTTGACGCACTTTCAAAATGGATGATTTCAACTGATAAGAACAACTGAGAGTACTGCATACGCTTCCACAGAAGAGGACTCGCTACCAGACACACCGCCAACTACCTTGGTGTTCAAGGGTCGCAACCTGCTAGTGCTGACAGCAGGCGACTTGCACGAGTCAACGAGCCACAGCGACTGCCCATTTTCCCAGGCGCATTGCACATCGGATTGGGGGGAGTACCTGCTTGTCCAAGTTTGAACACCGGACCTGCGTGTCTGCCAACTCCTGTGTCAATATGAGGATGTGCTCTCCATACAGATCGCGTTCCTAGAGATAGAAAAGATGAGGCGCCATCAGTAAACATTGTCAAGTGTTGATGATTGTTCAGACGTTGTCACAACGAAGCGCTGCCATTGTTGGATGCTGAATGGTCACAAACAAGCTGCCTTCCTCAATGTGTGCAAGTTTTGCTGTTCAGAACCACCCTGGACTCCATGATGCTGAAGAATTGGCGCGGCAATAACTCACAATTTCGGGGCAGTGCCCCAGAAGGACCGGCCAGGAGATGATTGAGAATCTGCCTTTCTTAAAAGCTACCGCGAACGAGGCAATGGGGGCAGTGCCCCAAAAAGCCAAACGTGGAGGAAAGCGTCAATTTCAATCCTTGGCCACAAAAAACAAAATGCGGCAGAGTGCCTGACAAAAGAAATGAAACCAACATCGTGTGCTGCTGTATACTCATTCAAGACCTGACAGACGTACCGTATCAGCTACTGCCCTCATCCTCTCCTTCTCGACCCGCGCCTTATCTCTCTCTGATCGTAACCTGCAGGTGCGAGCTTATTCAGGCCCAGCAACAGCGATTCTGAGAAGATGCCACCGCACTCGACAAACTCCTCTTTTGTAATCCACTCCCATGCTTGGTGCTAGGACCAGCGGTCAAGACTGGAAGCTTGCAAGAAACTGTCTACGTCACCTCACTGTCGCTTGCGGCAGACATATACTGCTTGGTAGCCATTAGCCAAGCGTGGAATTCAGGGAAGCATCCACCCGCCAAGAAACATTGACGTCTCCTTCCTCACCTCCCATTCTCTATCTCTAGATCCTGTATTCTCCGAGCTAGCCTCGCCCGCTCGTCCTGAAAACTCTGAGTGAGGAACGCTGACGTCACTGATGAATCGCTGCCCTCGGATGGTGACCTCAGCATGTCCTTTTCACCCGGACGCTTCTTTAGAGCCTCCTGCTGGCAGAAGAGCAGAGACAGGTTAGCGTTGTGTCCACATCACAATTCAGCTGCACACATGGGAAACATCATAATTCCCAACTTACGCTATTCCAGGCCGTTTCATATTCTCTATGATTAACATAAGGAAGTACGTGCACTTAGTGCTTATGCATTTCACTTTGAAAAAAGTGCAACGGCCAAAGAAACCAGGCTGCTTCCCGAGATAGACAAGTCGAGGATCAGGCTAGAGTGGACAGAATGCTGGAAAGAAGCTAATGATGGCGTCATAACGCAATATTATTGTCCAGATGTAGCGTGGACCATCATGATATCTGTTGAAGCCCTTACCAACTTCTGGTAACAAGCAACAAAGCAGAGCCCCAAGAACATACCCCTCCTAAACTTACATTCAGCAATAATTGCGAACGAGCATGAGAAGGGAGGCTAGCAGACGTTTGCATTCAACAACATTATGGTCTGTGCAAATTAATTCTTGCACCACTCCAACTTTTTCAGTGAGGACTCCCAATGTTGATCATTACATGGTGAGGAAACTCCAGACTACTGCAAATGGAAGTGTCACGACAATAGGTAGACTGCAGGCATGAAAGACCCTGTCGGGGACCGTAAAACACAACTAGCCCAACGAAGTGCCATTAAAAAAGTCAAACCAGAGGTGCACAGAAGATGTCATCAATACGTTGCGCAAGAGGCAAGCTCAATGGAAAAGGAGCGGCTTACCTCTGGTTGATCAAGCTCTCTGTCATCCAGCTCACTACCCCCGTCCATTGATCCAATGTCAAGGTCAGAGTCCAAGTCCAGTTCTATGGCAAGGTGCCTGAGTAGCTTGGTCATTGCACACAACCTGTGCCTGACTGCGCAAAACCTTGAATGTATCCACCTTGATACACGTTTTAGACTAATACTCAGATTGTGGTCACCAAACCTTGCAATTTGCGACGGTGCAATGGATGTAAGATCACTGGTTCGTTGGGTGCTTCAAAATATAGCAGCCAGCTCCTCGCAATATGAACACTCGTAGGTCCTCTCAAAAGGCCTACAAGACCGACTTTCTCCTAACTTCGCTCCGAGAGAAAAACCACCATTCTTTGGGGGTCAGATCGCCGCACCTCGTTTCAACTCCCGCTCAGGCTGTTTCCTCCAACGACTTGGAAATGTCGACAAGAGGACTCCAGCTCCAGAAGCTGCATTCGCGTAGCCCTAGAGAGAGGAAGCCATGCTCAGCAAAAGCACACAGCCGGCTCTTCGGCAGCCGTACGGCCAGCTGGTGCGCATGGATGATGATGCAACAGCTGAGGTTTGAACGCGGTGCTGATTGCGGGCAAACGAGGGCAGCTCGCACAGCACTGCAGACTGCATGCGTTGGGCTGATGTCAACAGTCTGCGCTGGAGCTTTCGTGCCCTATTTCCGACCATGGCACGAACTGGACGTTTCGGGAGAGCCATTTGCTTGCATTACGCTGAGGTCAGCAAATGACACCGGAACCCCGAACGTGGTGTTTCAGGTAGCAACTGCAGTCGAGATTGTCTCTCAGGTGGGGGATTGTGTCAAGTTGGAGCCTCGGCCGCGTTCGCCATCATGCGTGCGCCTCGATAATTGGAACGATCGGATCGAACCATAGAAAGGTACGGTATGTGTACATTCAACCGGTACTGTACACTACCTAGGTACCTTGTCCGTAGCAGTACCGGTAGTAGGTACGATAGTAGTGGGCACTGGGCACTACTAGGTACTCAAAATGACCGGGGCATATGCAATGTGCATTCGTGGACTACTCGAGATCTCCCTGAAATCGCGGCGGTCCCTGACAGTTTGAAACAACGATGGAATCGGCCGAGTTTGGACGGCTATGAAATGCTGTACTGAAGATCGACGGCCGCAGAAGTACCTGAATTATGAATAGCCAGGCGGGCCGTTCCGAAAAACACCGCCCTCCAGGGCCCCTGAGGACTAGCAATCTAAATCATTGATGACGCCATGTATGCGAGGTAAGAGCTGTACCGTACCTACTGGGTTACAGAATCATGCCATCGGGTTCCAAATACTCCGAGCATGATTCCTGAATTTAACCGTCCGATTGTGGGCAATGAAAGCATCGAACGGCTCAAGATCAGGAACCATGCTCAGTCCCATTGGAACCCGATGGCAAGTTTGACGCAAACAGCTGTAACACCTACCTATACAGTCTGAACTGCGAGGCGCTGGGTCACCCGGGGGCATGTGTAGTTTGGAAAGGGTCGTGGCTGGGGGGGCAGCTCGTGCTGCGTTCCGGCCGCTCAATTCTTACCGTTCGCTGCTGAGATTGGACGTCACAAATGCATCTTCAACAAATGCTGGAGATCCTCGAGGTTTTCTATGCACCGTGAATCGCTGCAGCCCCCCTATAGGCCCTAGAGGGTTAAAGTGCACGCGCTAATTTCAAATCCCGTAGGTACGTACCGTTTCAAAATGTCCTCTACAGTCCGGGTAGAATCTAGTATCTCTCCGGTTTCGTCGGACGTCCTCGGACCCCACCATTGTCATACCGGTAGGTTCACAAGAAATTGGAGCAGTACGCGTGAAGGTTTGTGGCACGTTAACTCTACCTTCTTTTGACCACTTTGATTCTAAACCAGTTCACAGCTTCTCCCGAGAAACTGCCAGCACTGAGCCAGCACGTCTCAGGATACTGTACCTATAGATTAGTCCTTAGTGTACCTGTTTGTGGTAACCACCTTTAAACTAGCTAGTGTACGATTAAACGATAAGTTGGTTTACACTCAAAACTGAAATGCTGAATTAAAAGGGGAACGTCACAGTCGAGTGACCGGTAACCCGTGCCAATCTCCCAAGGAGACGGGAGACGGTAGTTACCAAGAACCGTTGTTGAAAACTCTTGAACTGCTAATGTTTGTGACGTCATTGCTACCGTCATGACTTCGGGGCAGATCCGCGGTTGATCGGACGGATCGGATTTTGGCGATCCTTAATCTTCAATGCGAAAGCGCCACGTGGACGGGGATTTCTCTCATGACTTATGACCGTACCTAGTTAAAGCCGATAGGAGCTAGAACCTAGCTGTATTTTGGTACTACGGTCTACTTATACCTGTACGTAACCTAGGTACCCAAACCAAGTTAGGTACGAACCCACCACCGTACTCAGGTACGGTAGGTATGGTACTTCCATTCCCTCGACTCGACTGCCGGCAAGACTGCCGCTGCTCGGGCGCTTCGGTCCACCACTGCAAGGGGGAATGGCTGCCACCATGGCTGTCCCCAACGTTACATTGAGCTTGGTAATCTTCCTGCTGCTCAACATAGGCTGTGCCTTGGGTCCAATAGTGCACAATAGACTGAGAAGCAGAGAAGGAACCGGCAAGGAAAACGAGACTGGAGGCATGAACACCCATTCTTTGAATGGTAGCTTTGCTCATGGCCCAGATCCTCTTATTCTTGACGAGCCCGCCTCCTCTCTTAGTCGTCAAGCAGGATGCCGCCCTTGGCCAGCTCATCTTAGCACAGCTTTTACCAACCTCAAGATCCCGTCATACGGAGGAACAACCACGAGCTTGATCAACATTAGCAACCGTTAACCAAGCAAGGTTTTGGCACTCTTTTGATCCCGGGGGTTGCATGCATGCATTTCCTGAGGGTCTTCAAGCCAAGTAAGCAAGCGGAGAAAGTCTTCATGCAAAGAGAGCTCAAAGACAGCCCAAACCACATTAGAAGCTCGTGTCACCTGACAAAATCTTTTTGCAATGCTTGCTTTCAATCATGTGATACCTCAACCTGTAGTATTCCACAACCAATACAAGGAGTTAACCATTCAGATGCTTTTCACCAGCTCCTTACCGCCACAGCTCCTGGCATTATTGCCCACAGCACATTTGGTGCCCCCACTTTGTCTCCAACCATCCACCCAATCATGCTTTATCCGGGAATGATCTCAGCTTGGGAGTTATATGAGATGAGCATTATCCAACACAGGACAGCGAAGCACCTGCAGCTCTATGGCAAACTTGCATTTTCACTTGTACGCCAGGACATAGAAGAAGCAACTCATTTACTTTTTGCTTTCTATGTAGCTTTGGTATTATGCTTTTTAATGTGGTCCAGTCCAGCAGCCTATGCAGCAAGCCTCTCCTTACTCTTATCAAATCATGAGCCTAAACTCATTCTTGCTCGGCCCCCTTTCAGCGGACAGCATGCTCTTCGTGCCCGCAACCATAGACGTAAGTGCTTTATTCAAAAGCTGCTGAATGTAATACAGTCAAATCTGCAGTGATCACATATCTTCTGCTCTTCTACATGCACACAGCCACGTCCTCGGGCCGCAAGCATTGGGTGCCACAGCCCCGTACGTCCTTCAACAAGATGTGCCGACTCAGACGTCTCCGCAAGCTTCCCCACTTTATTGCCCAGCTTGGTCGTTGGTGTGCAGCAGTTGAGTCCTTTCTACTCACGTGCTGGTCACATACCTGCATCTGCCTTGTAACGGCACGACTGCGCACCGACTTCTGGCTGCGCGCCAAACTCGCGGCCGCGCATCGTCCGTTATTATACGCTATCGACTTATTTGATATATCGAATCACTACACGACACGTGTCTGGGTTACTGCTTCACCGCGTGACCGTCCGATAAGACC